CTCAGTAACCAAACCTTCATCAGTTATTCTCCTTTTCACAGGTTTGCTGGTCACTTTTATTGGAATCAGCTTTATAAAATGCACTTCTGCAGAGGATCTGTCTTTTGCATGCACAATGAACACATCTGAAACAACCTTAGATAATTCTTTAACCGTCAAACACTTATATTTAACCCGGTTTAATCTCTTTCGAGTATGTCTTGCAAGTTATTTTCAGAAGCAGCTTGAAGTCCTGTCAGCGGTCTGCTTTATCAACGGTGCTGTATTGTTTCTTTAAATCTGTTGCATGAGTTTCTGTCGCTGCGGCAGAAATGTGTATACATGGACTTACTGTAGACTTGTGGTTTGATTAGTTTCATGCAGCTATTTTGATGTCACTCCTCAGAGTCAATATTGATCAGAGATCATTCAGCAACATATGTGTATCGCATCTGCGTCTTGAGTTTCTAAAGGTAGAGGTCGGGGAAACGAGTAAAACCGGACACCCAGATTTACTGTAGCTGGTAGACAGCCACCAGCTTTGTGTATCTGTGTGGTCAGCTGAACAAATTCTAACTGCCCCTAGTGTACAGTAAGTAAAAATATTTTAGAAAAGATTTTGTAAGGTAAAGGACGGATAGAGACCATTTCAGAAATAAGAAATGGAGACGCCATGAAAGAGTTAATGTTCTAAAAAATGACACAAATTGAAAGCTGAAAGCATAAGCCATGCTCGCCAGACGAATACAACCACAAGAGGTCCTCTGCCTTCCCAGCAAGGAGCAGTGCTGGTGATCAGCTGGAGTTCATGGTTATTCTGAGAGGCGCACAATTAACACTGCTCAGCTCCCACCCACGTGAGAAACTCATCCTGGCTTTTTAGAGTGCCGTAGAGCTTCAAGGCACCATCTCGTGCCAGTGTGGTTTAGTTCTGACTCGCTTGTCTTTTGTTTGATCCCTTCTAAATCTGGCTTTAGATTTACTAGGGGCAAAGTGAGAGCAATCCACAATATTAGACTATTGTAAATCCTAAAGTGGACCGCAGAGACCTACAGTGTTTTAGCCAGCATTAAACCATACTGTCCCATTGTCTTTTAACTGAGGGCATTCATAGCATGATGTTCAGTGCCAGTGTTGTTTCCTTTAGATGTATAGTCCTACAGCTGTTTCAGTCTGTGCCAAAACACAGGACACAGTGTCTAGTGATAATCCCCATGCGTGCACAAGTAAAGATAACTACATTATCCCTTTTCTTCTCACAGACTGCTGCTAATGACCTTTGATCTTTGAAGACAATTAACCAGCACTTAAGAGTCATACAGTAGATGGGGCAGTGGTGCATATCAGTATGACATTATGAATCCATTCGATTTTCTCGAGCCCCCCCCACCCCCATGAGAATTAGGGGTTAAAGTTCAGAAAAGACAAATTAATTTTAACATGCTGTTGTTTTTCTTGGCAAAAATACATGACGTTTTTGTCTGGACTGAGTTACATTAGTCTGTGGCTTATGGGATCAAGGATTGCTTAATTTAATAAACAAAGTCATTGGCGAAGGGAATCGAGCTGGAACTCTGTCTGGAGTCTGCACTGCAATTTGAATGGCATGCCTCTCTTTACTGGGTTTCAAGCAGAAATCGACAGTCATAGCTGAATGAAAATACTGTACACGCAAACAAAAAGATATGGATATTTCTGAGACACAATTTGCAAGAATAAAATACTTTATGAAGTTTTATTAAGGTGAATTGTGCAAATTTTATGTTTTTTTTAGAAATCACAGGCTGCTTTTGACTGAATCTGTAGTTTCTAATTGTTCTTCTTTCCATTCTTTCCATCCTGGTGTAGAAGGCATTTGCTGAAGCCCTTGACTATTGTAGCATTCAGCACAGTGATAGTCATGGGACCAGTCACCTTTTCAATCCATCTGTAGTCACTCTGATCCTTGTTCTTTTCCATGATTGCTGAATTCAGATCAAACAGTAGGCCTTAATTTAACAGCACATTAAAGTGGACATGTTGAGATCTAGGAATTTCTAATTTTACTTGCTCTTCATTTTCTTCCTCTATTTCTTGTGTGAAATTCCATTCTTTTCACAAATTGGCTACATTGACAGCCAGCCTGCGATTAAACAGCTTCCTTCAAACTCTCTGTATGTCAGGATTTTTTTTTTTACTGAGAAACACAAAAGTTTAGCTGAATAGTTTCACTCCTAAAAGCAAAAAACAAAATCACAACATGAATAATGCCAGTAATGAAGTGTAGGTGGTGGTACTGTATGTGTGGTAATATTGATTATTGTAAAAATAATTGCAGCATGCCCTTCTGTACAAAATGAGACTCTAAATTATGAACAACCAGGATACTAACAAAATAAAAAAGTGATTGACAGACATTACCTCTTCTGCTTTTGTCTTGACAGCGGTTCTGTCAGATTACTTACCGATATTACATGAATGGAATTCAGCCAGCTTGGCAAGTTACAGAAATTGACTTCAGCAGACATGGAGAACTGTGACTAATCCAATGTAGACTTGTTCGCTGAGAGAAAAGAGGATGTTTTGATAATTCTTGCAGATGTCAGGCTTGGTACTGCATGCACACATAGTGCAGCAGTCTTCACCCACCCCCCCCACTGCAAGAGTATGTTCCATGATGACTTTGATGTGAGACGTGCCCATAGCTTCAAGCAAGAAGAGAGTTGCACTGATTTGTAAGAACTTCAAAACCCTGAACTGTAAGCTTCTTCCTACAGTGCTCACACAAGGCTGCAGATGGAGAATGTCAAAATGCAAAAATCGGTTGCAGTGTTTCACTCTACAGCGCGTCTTTCTTATATACAATATATGACATAATATACATTTATGAACAGGAATCCTGTATGTATATTTAATTTTTCTTTTTTTTTGTCCTGATTCCCTTACCAGAGAGAGTACTAAACTTTTTTTTCTGGTCAACTGGCAAGTGATTTGACTAATACAGCTTGAGATTAAATTGGTATTTGCTGCCTTAGTCACACTTTAGAAGAGTAGAAGAAATTAAACATACTTTGTGCTTTTCTGCTGAAGACTAGACAGCAAGGAAACAGATCTGTCCTAGGTCAGCTGTAGTAAGTATTGTAGTTAGTGCTGACGAGCCACTAGAAGCTGTTATACGTTGATTGTAAATAGTCACACTCACTTGGGGTAGTGACTATCAATAGATAATTTGTGCAGCACATAGATAGTTTAATAGTTTAGTTAGTTAATAAGATAATAGGAGAAGAGCTAGGGAACAGATTTTCACATGGGTAGAATTAGGTTTGCTTGGGAAATAGCCAGCAGCCATATCACTCTGCAATTCACAACTGGTAGCCCACTGAAGCTCAGCAGGTGTGAGCCTGGTCAGTACCTGGATGGGAGACCTCCTAGGAAAAATTAAGGTTGCTGCTGGAAGAGGTGTTAGTGGGGCCAACAGGGGGCACTCACCATGTGGTCCATGTGGGTCCTAATGCCCCAGTATAGTGACTGGGACACTATACTGTAAACAGGCACCGGATAAGACGTAAAACCGAGGTCCTGACTCTCTGTGGTCATTAAAAATCCCAGGGCGTTTCTCAAAAAGAGTAGGGGTGTAACCCTGGCTTCCTGGGTATATTTCCCAATAGCCCTTACCAATCATGGCCTCCTAATAATCCCCATCTATGAATTGGCTTCATCACTCTGCTCTCCTCCCCACTGATGTGTGGTTAACATTCTGGTGCACTATGGCTGCCGTCGCATCATCCAGGTGGATGCTGCACACTGGTGGTGGTGGAAGAAAGTCCCCATTACCTGTAAAGTGCTTTGAGTGGAGTGTCCGGAAAAGCGCTATGTAAGTGTCAGCAATTATTATGAAATAAGGGGTGTGCATGGCGTAGATTTTGGATTGTTTGCAGTGTGAGACTCGTGGGCACATTGAGAAAAAGTTGCTGAATAAAGTCTCCCTGCCTTGTAGTCTTCATCTCATTATGAGTTTTAATGTACTCAGACTTCACAAGCCACCTTATTTTGAGGGAGGCCAACCACAATATTATAATGTCTTTAGTTAACAAAAGCAAAAGAAAATGAAGAGTACTACTGTATATGTAGATGTTTTTTAGAATTTCTCCTGAAGTTTCCTAGTTTGTACTGCTTTGCAAAGCCTTGCGGAGCTAAGGGCACGTATCTGTGCTGTGTTGGTAGGTTAAGTAGGTGTGCTAAAATTCTTGGCTGCTGCAGTACATTATAGCATGGCCAGCGGGAGTTTAGCAGGGGTAATGACGTGTAAAGAAGCTTTAGCTCAGAAGCACAGGTAATCATTTTCACCTGCTGTATGTCAAGCAGCTGTTTTATCTTACTAGATCTATGTACTGTAAAGTAGCAGTATGAAGCCTCCAAAAGACTTTGACAACTTCTGTTCAAGTATCGCATTATTTCTACCTAAATTAACTCAAATGGTTTTGCTTCAAAGGCTTAGTTTTGCTTATGGTTTGTTATAACTTAGATGTTAAGGGATGATTTTGTCAGGATGTCTTATAATGTGCATAGTGCTGCCAAGATCTGGATTGAATAACAGAAATACCTTTGCCATATCCTCTGGTGTTAAAATAGGTATATTTTTACAGGTATAGGTTGGATATATTTAGCTTATATAAAATATGGGGGTAGTGTTCCATGATTGTTCGTCTTGCAAGCAAATCACTTCTAACCATTGTACAGTGGTGGTGTGACTTCCATAGTATATTAGTAATTTAAGGAACATTGCATCGACTTCAGCACAGTTGACTGGAACACGTTAAACCTATAAGCAGAACTGAAATATCTCAAGGAGTAGCCTTTGCTTGCCGTATTTTTGACGAAGGAAGCCAAGTATCGGGATGTTCACCGATCACACCAAATCAATGGTTTCTATCTTTAAAATGGTCAGATGCGTCATCCTTTAATAGCAGACTTTGGCAGATGTTCTGTAAATTGTGTTTCCCTGATTGCTAACATGTGGTCCTGGCATTACTGTGTTACAGGGCGGACTGAGGAACAGTAAGCATGAGTGCACACTGTCATCACAGGAGTACGTGCATGAGCTGCGCTCTGGCATCACCGATGACAAGCTGCTCAACTGCCTGGAGTCCCTGCGAGTGTCCTTAACTAGCAACCCTGTCAGGTCAGTCCTCATTAAAAAAAGAGAACATACTGCTTAACTACAGTACATGAATAAACGTCTATGCCCCTCTTTGCCATGAGATGATTGATAAATGTTTTTACTGTGCTCATTTTTATAAAAGGTAATGTTGTGGACATGCTTCCATTTATTTTAAATGAGTTATAATTGAAACAAATGAAACACTGAAAGAATAATGGAAAAAAAGAACACTAAAAATCAATTTTTGATTAACAGTCCTTTTAAGCTGACCCTGTGGTTTAGCTGGGGGCTAAAAATTAGAACTATGTAAATAGTGTAATCAGAAAAGAGGGTGCTTGTGGAAGAAAAACTATTTGCAGAACCATTTTACTTTCCTTCCATGCAGTGTGACTTATCAGGCATGCACGATTAAAGCTTGAGCTGATAAGAGGTTGTGCAAAAAAATATCTTGATTATAAATACAGCCGCGCTGTTTGTCCAACTGGTTGCACCGCATGTACAATAAGCAGAAAAACTTCTGGAATCTAAAGTTAACAAAAAAGGAAACCCAATGGGCACAGAAGCACTCACATCCAGATGATTTATGGCCCTTCCAAAGCCTTCTTAATGAGCGCACACCTTGGTGTAAGAGAATTAGGAGCCTAGCAGTGAATCCGTGTGTATTCTGGAAAGGCTGTGTATTCTGAATTCTGATGCTCTTGCTTGTAAACTTCACGATTGCATTTTTGTTTTTTCTTAGATTCCTATGCTTGTCGTGGGCATGCTTTTTGTGCCTGCTGTGTAAATTGGAAATATGTCACCAAGTCTTTAAGGAATTTGCATGAACAGAAAGATGGGCCATTTGCAATTCATGTAGCCAATGAGCTCTGCATCTGCAGCTGTCAGCGAGGCAGGAGGGATTAGTTACGACTCTATCTATTAGCCTGTAATAGATAGGAAGTCCAGTTTTAGAAATCAGCAAGAATCCCATTCTACTACTGCTTAATGAGCACCCCTCCCTCATCTTAAGATCAAGTCTTTCAACTTTGATTTTTTTTTGTCAGCAAGTGTCTTTTTCTTCCTCACCCTCTTTTTTGCAGTTTGATCCTACTTAATGTGCTACTTAAAATAATTTAAAACATATTCCTCAGTACGGTGCTCATTTCTGCAAGCTTTGATAGGTCTTCATTCAGTTCTAATTAGAGCGTGTGGTGTCCTAGGCTTCTCACAAAGTTGTCTGATTCTGTCTTGTAGATAGGCTTGTCTTGTAGTTTAATTTGGTCCCAACGTCATGGTGGAACCCTTGCTGACTGCAGACCTTCTAAATTATTTACTCTTTCACTGTTGGAAAGATGTTTCTTAATGTGAATCAATGAGTGCTGCATATAAAGTGGTCATCAGTTGAATGGCAGATATTCTTTTAAGTAGAGCTCATTGCTAAAAGTCAGCCTTCATGAACTCCCAGTGGACCAGTTATTTGAACCACTGGATACAGAAGGCATTAGCCTGCATCCTTACAGCTCAGAAACTAATAGGGTTTGGAGTGGTTTTGCAAGAAAGATAATATGCACCAGCAGATAACAAAAGATATGATCTGCGCTTGAATCCAATTAATAGGTTTTTAAAAATGTTCCCCTTCATATTGATGAAGAAAAAAAGCATAGAAATGTCCTCATGAATATTTTCAGTGATGGGGGCGAAAGATCTCAGTTCTGTCACCTGGCAGTGTCCCCAATTCAAGGTAGTTCTTAAATTCATATCGTAGCTTTTCTACAGTGAATCAAACAATGTCAATGTAAAGTATTTGTGTCTTATACATGCATCTTTCAATTAGTCTAAGTTTCAATTAGTTGTTATTCTTTTTGTTTGCTTGCTTTTAATTGGTAGAAGTGACTACAGCATCTACTGTATTTTTTAATCTCCACTGTATTTTCCCCAGTGTCTTGAGTCTGCGAAACAAAATTTGCAGCTCTTTTCTTTCACTTTGGAAACATTCTCAGTGGAAAAGTGTTGGTAGAGCTCACAGTGTACAGTAAGTGCAGGACGACCCTCAGGTTGTTTTCAAAGTGGTCACCTTGTGACCCCTAAGTGAACAAGCTGTATATACTGCGTCTTAAACATCCACACAAGGCCAGACCTTAACCAGGAAAGGAGCAGCCTTAGGTGACAGATGACTTGAATAAACACAGCACTTTTTCAAGAAAAAAAATAATGAAAGGGACATTTCAACCTCTCCTGTTCTCAGAGGTGACTCGTAATTAATATGGATGTAATTAATGGTCACGGATCACAGCACATTGGAAATCTGAACTGTGAAGCTAGTTGTTCTGATAGTGCTATGTTAATTTAACCTTTTAGAAACTTAACTTAAATGAGTACACATGCATCTTTTCAAATACATAAGGGTTCTGCAGTTAATTTATTCAGTTTACTCAAGGGACATTCAAGCATGAGAGTTTTTTAGAATTTTGTTCGTGCAAGATCATTATTGTCAGTCCCGGTATCTAATTGTTTTTTTTTTTACATGACATGACTTGAATGGCAGCAGTCGCTGCTGACTGTGCAGAATGCAGGGTCCTAAGTGGCTCTTGCAGTCTGTGTAAGGTGATTCCCTTGCTTCCAGCAATGGTTTGGGAATCCTCTCTGGGGACGCATGGCGCACTGCTTAGGCTTTCATACTCCAGTGAGCAGCGTAGAGAAGTGGTTTAAGTTTCAGTCATTTTCACAAGTCACGCTTATCCTGCAGGCAAATTCTGATCTGAACCTTTCTGGGCTCCTCTTATGTAAGCACTGCTTGTTCAGGGACTACAGTAGCTGCTGCAGACATCATGGTTGGGTCTGATCAGGAGCAACGTTTCCATGCGAACATGAAATGTACCCTGTTTCTTTCCTGTAAGAATGAAACCATCAATGGTGATTGCATGACAAAAGTATGATTGGAATGGTCTGGTTGAGATGACATGACATCTGAAGATAGACCTGGTTTATATGAACAGTGGAGAACTGAACATGTGTTGATAGGGGTTTGTTGAAAAGCTTGGTTTCAGCAGAAAACCTAATCTGAGTTTCAACCAGAAGACATTTCCTCTAAAACTTTGCAGGGGTGTAATCAGGATTTACTTTTCAGTGTGTCATTGAATTTCCTTGCAGTGACTCCAGTCACTCCCAGTTGATGGAACTGTTTTAAGCTGCTGAGTGTGCTCCTGCTTTCCTGCCCAGATTCCTGTCCTGTCGCTGCCTATTTCTGCCCCTCTGTCCCTCACAAATGCACTGTGAGCAGCTCTCTGCAATCTTGGTTTGCAGATGTCAGTATCCTATCAAAACACACCTCGAGATTGACAGTTATGAATTAATTCATAAGTGCGCAGTGTGTAATTATTAAGGGGTGCTAATCAAGCCATTGAATGCCTAGTTCCCATTGGATTTATTTGCTCACTTTCTGCATGGAGGACTGGATTTGAAACGTCATTGTTCAGAAAACATAAAACAAAGGTAGTTGACTATGCAACCTGTAGAAAAAAAAATCTACTTCTCTTACATCCTAGATAAGATGTGCACTTAACCTGAGTAAAACAGTTTAGTGAATTAAAAAAGAGGTAATCTGAAGATCAAGTGGACCGATAAGTATCCTTTGTATTTGTTCATTGTTTTTGGCATGCAGGCCCTGCCTATTGTCCTGCGTTCACTTCATACTTTACTTTATATCACATTTGCTGCCTATTATATCACATTTGCTGCCTCTAAGATGCTCAGCTTGAGCTCCCTTTATTAAGTTCACTAGCTCTGTGTTACCTGTCCTGATGTTTCATTGAGTTTACTGGCACCAACATGGTAGTACTAAGTGTTGTGCACTGAAGAGGCTGACTTATAAGTTCCCTCTACTAAGCTCTTAGTATTAAATTCTCTGTCACCCAAATCCCAGCACTGACTTTTCCATATTGAATTTGCTAGCTCGGAAATCTCTAAACAGAGTTGTCCAAAATTGAATTTGCTGGCTCTAAATTTTCATTATGTGAAAATCTTCATAGCTGGGCTTTTAATGGTTTTCAAGGTCATTTTCCGGTTTGTGTGGCTTTGCAGGTTACAGGTAGAAGAACTCACTACATGGCTTTTAATGGGCAGAGTCTCCAAAATGAGAGTTGATCTACTGTATGCATCTGTCTCTATACCTGTATCTAGTGGAGTCAGCATAACCAAAACAATAGACTTAGCTATTGAAACATTGTGCATGTTGTATCCAAATTAATAACAAATTATTGAATTTTCAGAATAAATGCAGAGGAGAAAAAAGGTGGGTCAGGTGCCTTGAAACCAAGTGGAAAAGAGATTTGTGCTGTTAGAAGTATGAATTAACCTGTTTTTAAAATTACTATAGAGCCTTTAACAATTTCCCTGCATTAATACTACTGTATTCCAAACTGGTATGATAACAAACCATCAAGATGCCCGCTCCTTCGTCCACCAATCTTCACTCCACTTGTCTGGATGAGGGTCTTGGCACCCACATAATATAATTCATTGCTGTTATGGGAACCTCATCCGCATCTGTATCTGTGCAGGCTGTCAGCAAACTTTAATGTTAGTTTGCTGCTTGTTCTGAATGTTCCACAAGTATGTGTTTTGGTAACAATGTAACGAGTAGAGATTTACTGAAGTTCTTTTGAAGTGTTGACATTGATAACACTGTCAAAGAAATCTTTTTTCTTTCAGAACCGTCACCCATAATCTCATCTAAAATCTTCAGAAGTGATAAAAAACAAGCCTAGGAATCATATAATTGAGTTGAATAAGCATCAGTGTTTAACAGATTGCATCAAGCACAAATCTTTACATATAAATAAATACCTCAAATGAATTATACTACTTGTGAAGAATTATTATTTCAAATAGATAGACAATGCATTTGCACTTATTTAGTGTTTCTCTTTGCTTTGGTTTAACTTGCTGTGTATTGAGACTGAGAAGGAAACCCAGAGCCTGAAGCCCGTAAGCAATACTTTTTTTTCCTCAAGTGTTTGAAATGATATTTGTCTAAAATGATA